TTGTGTCTGCAGCAATGCCCTTTAAGGATAGTCTCAAATAGTGGAATTTTTGAATGTTCGAAAGTTCGGAATTTGTGTGGATGATGGAGTTAAAAGTGTCTCGAAAAAATAGCCAAGTATCGTAGTCGCCTTCAAACGAAGGTAAATTAATAGTGGGTAAACGTATATTTTGTTGAGAAATGGTAACTTCACTTGTAGAAGGTGTAGATGATTGGGATATCTGACCAGCAGGAGGAGTCGAAAGTTTGGCAAGAAGTCCTCTGGCTAGGCCAGTGATAGAAAAGAATGGATTTTCAAAAGATGCTCGTTCCGTGTCATGAATAGTAGATGCATTTGTAGTGTAGTTTGGGTCAGCAGCCTCAATAATTGATTGAACATTATCAAAATCATCATAGAGCTTCTCAACTTTCTCAAGGCGCAACTGTAAATCCCTAAAGTTAATTTCAGTTGAAGATAACTCTTTGACAGAGTTAAAATAATTCGAGAAACGTGTTAAAGTGCCCTTAATTGAAGTGCGTTTAATTTTAGCATTATCAGCAGCTTCAGCCATAGTAAAAGGTAAATTTATTAAATGCAAAGTAAGTAAGGTACAATGTAACTAGTTTAACTGGTGCGTTAAATGAAAATGTAATTAAATGTAAAATTGTGTGCTTAAAAAGATATAGAACAATAAAATTGCTATAATAAAATAGCACAGAAAATGTTTAAACAATTAAAGTGTTATAAATGTAGCTTTATTTATTTATAAAGCGTGCCCGAATCGCTGGAAAGCCGAATCGGTTGGTAAAGAGTACCCAAAAGTTGTAAAAAAAAGAAGATATGTCAAATCTATCCAGAAAGGATGTAAAAAAGACGATAATATGTGATTACGAGTCGCAAATGACGAATCGTATTGGTTATATAACCCAAAATTGTGTGTAAATATAGCAAATTGTACTAAATATATCCAAATAGGATGTAAAAATAAATATGTTGAGTGATGTAGTGTAAAAATGCAAAAATTATTTAAAAAGAAATCAAATTAGTTATTTTTAAATGTAAAATAAGGAATAAAACCCTGCAATACCATAATACCGCGTTTATACCAAGTAAAATATTTAAATAAATGTATTGTGTGTTGTACAAAATAGTGATTAATAACAAACAATTAAGATAGAAGTAGTTTTCCACCGAATTGAAACAAATTAAATGTAAATCTCGTGTAAAATGAAAAAAATGAAATAATGGTAAAAGGAAAAGCACTAACCTTTGATATTTCGTATTTCCAAAGCAGCAAGCATCCAAATCGAAGGACCAGAAATGTTGGTAACTGTTCAGTGGAAATCGGGAATCTTGAGTTCTTCCAGTTACTTGTTGCTAAATATTATTTGGACTTCCCGTGGTTTTAGTAAAGAACAAAAGACCGTACATGAAACTATTTAATTACTTCTATGTGACTGTTATAATATAGAAACAAAAGAAAACTTAATTGTTTGTAATAATACAACTAAAATATTACAAATATAAATTAACACTACATGTTGTTACATCTATGACTGGAAACGGAATAATGCTGAATGAGGGTTGTTAGGTAGTTTGCCAAAAGGTGGGTACTTCCAAAAATAAATCCTAACGGTAATTTCTAATCTGCCTTAGCGATAAGTCGTCGTAAAACTAAGCTATGCCGTTTCAAAGACGACAGGACCGTCGTCAGATCTTTTGAAGTTTTAACAAACATATTAAACCTGAATATGGGTAAAATTTGGTTTGAATTAATTAAATAATGATAGTTTCGTGCTTTTGAATAAAGTTCCATCATATTTCAACCCTTAAAAAACGACCCTTGTTAGAGATTAATGTAAAAAAAGTAGTAATGCAAAGAAAATGATTTCGCCTTGGAACGATTTGCATAAAAATTTGGAATTAAGCTCAACTCACCCTCTGCTTTATAGTTTATGTCATGCCGATGATCCCTGATTGTTCTTAGTGGTGAAAACTACCGCTAATTTTCAAAAATTGTAAAATAACATTACAAATCTTAAGATGAGTGAAATTTGGTTTGGATTAGTTAAATAGTGATTTTTTATACTTTAAAATACAATTTCATACATTTTCAACCTTTAAAAATCAATTTTTATGAGTGCTATAAGTGAAAACAATTTTTTGCCAAAATTTTGCAACTTTTCAACTTTTTAAAATCACCCTTTACAACCTTGCAGTTTTTATAAACTAATTTAATAGGTATAAATTGGAAACAGTAGAATTAAATACAAAAAAATGTATCAACATAAAAAGGCACCATATATTCTTATACATTTACATAAATAGTTGAAAATATTTACATTTATAGGTTAAACAATTATAATATTAATTTTATTCGTCATCAATTACATCTTCATCGTGATCTATGTCATCCTCATCTTCTTCAATTATTGGTGGACTATTATTGCACCCTTCACCTGAGCACCCAGAACAAATAGAGTTACAGTATAAACCAACTTTTCTGCACCCACCTGAAACGTCGCATCCTTTTTTGCATTGGCAAAAAATAAATTTTCAAAAGTTCATCGGGTGCAGGTTGTTTGTTCATGCGTACGGGTAATAATAAACCACCTTTGGAATACCATCCCCAATCTGTTGCTCTGATATTTTCATTGCCAAGCCATGTTTTCCTCTGTTGTATGGGATTTCAAAATAAAAACGCTTAAAATTTCGAATGTATAATGCCCCACTACCTAATATACTGGTTTTGTAGATTATTATGCTCCGAAATGTACTGTACTATACTAATGGAATTTTCCGGAAAAAAAAATTAATTGGTTTTTTTTAACGTATTTCCTTCATTTTTAACGATAGAGTGTTTCTTCAAAAACGATTTTGTAGAGGTTTTTAAGAGCTACAAGGATCTGTGAATTAAATCTTTTTGGAACCCTTGGTTTTTAAATGGGGTGAGTTTAAAGGGCTCGAAAAAGATGGTGCTTGATCGTAAATTGATACTTTAAACGGCTATATCTCGCCAAATATTCATTGTGCAACAAATCTAAATAAAGGAAAATTTTAGTCATTAAAAAAGCTACAATTTAGTACATTTTTATTTTTTTCATATATTTAGTATTTTCGGGGATATTTAAAAATAGAAGGGTAAAAAATATGAAATTGTAAATCGTTTCTCGCTTTATACTGTACTTTTTTTAAAACTAAGCTTTTTAAATTTGTCAAACTTCTTGGACGTATTAACAATACATGTACAAAGAGAATTGCAGAAGGGTGACGATCGATTTTAATTATGGTGGTGGTTAGGGGGTTGTTTTCATCGATTTTTTCGTAAAAAAATTAGGTATTGACCTTATTTTCATCATAACTCACTCAATTTTTGAGCTAGAGTCTTTTTTTTATGATAGGTCTATTTATGCTCTTTAAAAAAGGTTCTGTGAGTTTTCTTCCAAAAGTGCATCATTTTCCCGATATTTGACTTTGAATCTTTCAAATTTGGCATTTGAAGAAAACCGCTGAACATTGATAGGCCGTATTTCGGTTCCTGTTATATTGCAAAAACATTTTAAAAAATGAATTGTATTTCTCTTTTTAAAAGTTACAAATTTGTTGTCTACAATTTTTTTGATAAAATGCACCATTTTCGAATTATTCGAGAAAAATCGATTAAAAACGTCGATTTTTTCGTCTAAAAGTTGTTACTTTCAATCGCGAATAACTTGAAAAATATCAGTTTTACAAAAAAAAAATGTATAGAACATTTTTTGTTTAGAATCACTTTTTTAATCGAAACCTGTAGTTAAAACGTAAAAAAAATTTCACCCCCGAGATAGGGTGGCAACCACCCCTAAGGCTTTGGCGCACTTTGGTTCGATATAGATTTTGATCCTTGGCTATTACCTACCTTCTGTTAAAATTTCAAGTCAATCCACGCAGGACGAAAAAATTGCGAGGTGAAATGATTCATTTCCTGGACTATAAGTGGTTTGAGAGCATAATAAAATCGTAGATTTATGTGTAGCTTTCAATTTTTGTAATTTCAGAATCCAGCACCCCGCTGAAGTATTGGATTTTTATAATATAATTATTTGACAACCTTTTGTTGGTCAACCACCTACAGCAGAATTGAGCCGAAACACATAATATTTCGTATGTTCCGAATTTATTTCGTTCAATCTGTATGTATAAATGTGTGTATAAAAAAAAGAAAAAAATAAACAAATAAAAAAAAAACACACAACAAAAGGAAATAATTTAAAACAAGCTGAATATATGTTATAAGAGTAATACAAGTCTAAGGTATAATTGTAAAATTAGATATGTAGGAAATAATTCTTTGTAAAATTAGAGCAGGACTATGATTGTATAGCAAACGAGAAGAAAGCAAGGAGCACTCCTTTATTGCTTCCGAATAAAAAATACAAAATAATCCCATAAAGGTAAGATGGCGAATGGATAGAGACTCCGAAGCCAATAGTGCACAAACACACACACAAGAACTCCTAATGAATTTTTAATCATACTATTTTTTTTTTATTCTCTATGGATCAGTTAAAACACACCATTAAAAGATGTAGCAAACGAATTTTTACTATTTTTAACTAAATTTCAAAATGTATTTTGTCCATTATTTTATAAGTTATATTTTATATGTTTGTTATTAATGTTGAATGAATGAATGTCATAGCTTTAATGTCCTAATAAACTTTGTTGTTTGTTTAAATCGACAGTCACTAATATCCAGTATTCATTATATATATATATATATATATATATATATATATATATATATATATATACAAAAGGAACATTTTTATTCTCGAGAGAGGAAGAGAGAGAAAATATATATTCTGTCTCTCTCGTACTCATTATCTTACATTTGTAATGGTTTCACAGATTCACTCCCATGCAAATTTCCAACGCCGAGCGTGCGTATAGAAGTATAACTTCAAAAACTATCACACATAAAGATTGCATATTGTAAATTTGAGGTTTATTTTGTGTTAATTGTGATCTAATTATTTCAGAATTCTGTGATGTCTTCTCCTAAAGTACAAAAAACATTAATCCCAGGCAGATTAATTGTAATAACCCAGAAACATCACGTAAACAAGCTAGCTCTCATATTAACTTGCATAAGATCCAAGCAGCATCTATACAAGGTTCTCGTTTTGAATAACACACAAGAGGTATTAAAAGATTATAAAGAGGATTTCTGGTATTATATGCTGAGTCTTACAGAAGAAAAATTGTTTAGTACAGCTACTGCTGCTGAGCATGATATTTTAACGGTATCTGCTGAAGATATATTTGAAATATCAGGAAAAACTCTAAAAGTAAGTATATGCAAGACTCTAAAATCAAGATTTTAACGGTTAACTTTTTTTTATTTAGTTTAACCTGTCTCTACATCTCAAGTAATTGACATAGGTACAAATATTTAATATTTTACAAACATAAAAATAATTATCAATATTAGAAAATTTCACAGTCCTTAATAACGCGAATAAAACAATTTGCTACAACTTAAATTTTAATTTCAGGGTTTATATTCGTGATAACTGTTATTGGGACTTGTTGTCTAGGATATGACGGTAAAAATAGTAGAAAATCTGTGTGTATGCTCAATGCACCTTTTAATCTATCATATGCCAATATATGCTAATGCTAACGAAAAATATTTTAATTCACTAAGATACTGTAGCGTTCTTTGGACATTTCTTCGGACTTAACTTCAAATTCGCTGCCCGCAATCGTTGAAAGCCTTCTGTTAGATTGTTGGCATGTTCATCGAATGATCTTCCCAACACAATTACATCATCCAAATAAACGAGGCATTTTTCCATGTTAGACCTCTTAAAACTGCTTGTATCTTTCAAATGTGGCAGGAGCATTACATAAACCAAAGGGCATAACCGTGAACTGAAAAAGTCTTGATCCTATCGAGAATGCGTTTTTTTTTTTTTCGATCAGCTGGCTCTATATAATTGCCAATTTCCACAAGATTGATTTTTAGATCGAGTGTGGAGAACCGACGAGAACAAGAAAGAGTATCCAATGTATCGTCTATTCCGGACAAATAATAACTATCTTTCTTAGTTACCGCATTGAGTTACTGCATTGTAGTCAATACAAAAACGTGTATAACCATCTTTATTTTTTACTAAAACTACTGGTGATGTCCATGGACTGTTTGATGGTTCAATTACCCCTTGTGTGTTCATATATTTAATGATGTCTTCGGCTTCATTACTTTTCGCTAATAGAAGTCGTCTACGTTATCGTCTGATTGTCTGAGCGTCTCCGGTATTAATTTTATGCGCAAATATACTTCTTTTGCCCTTATCCTGCTTATCAATGGCAATCACAACTTGAAATTCTATCATAGACTTCATTTTTTTAGTTCGTTCATCATCAAGATCTTGGCACGTTTTAATCACCATCTCAACAAGCTACTTTGGATACTTATATTTCGATCATTTCTCATTAGTATTCATAGAACAAATCGAAGCCATGAGAACTGTTGTATAATTGTATACATGTATAATTTTTTTGCAATTACGGCGAATGTGACCTACGTCACAACAATTCCAGCATCCGGGCTCGCGTCTCTTCGGCATCGTGTTACGAACTACTTTTCGAACCATTTCTTCCAGACCTTCATCGTTTGGTTCGTTCCTTCTTTAATGGTTATTACTCGATAGCTCCGTAAAGTTTGACTACCTATTTAGTGTTCCAAAGAAATAGTTATCATGCTCTCTAACTGTTTGATTTTATCTTCTACCTTATCGAATGTTCTAGAAACTTCTTCAAATTTCTCATTGTTTTGACTATATACTTCATCGAATCTTCTAGAAACATTTTCGAATTTCTCGTCGTTTTGTCTAGTTGCTTCTTTAATAATTTGAGACGTTTCTTCGATCATTTGAGAAATATTTTTTATTTTCGTTCAAACTACTTCTTCGGCGGACTGAAACTGGAATGTCTCTGGGTCATCTCCATTCTTGTTGAGAACATCCTTCAGTCGTTATTAACTTTTAATGTTCTGCTAGAAGTATCTTTGGCCAGGCACAGGTACTTTACTTTTTTACGAAAATCACTAAGGAATTACGCGGATTTTCCCGACGAACAATACTTTTTAAAAAGTCTTTTTTAAAAGTCTAGAAAAAGTCTAGAAACACCAACTTGTTTCTAGAAGTTTCTCCGATCTTCGTTAAAACTACTTCTTCTGCTGATTGAAAATGGAATGTATCTGGGTCATCACTATTCTTGTTGAGAACAACCTTCAATCGTTCTTGAAGGATCTTTTTGGACCCGCTGCAGTATTCATCCCTTTCTTCTGGTTGTTTACGTAACTGTTTTACTGGTAGCTCTGTAAGCCGTATCTTTGGTCAGGCACACACATATTGTTTTTAAATGTTCTTTCTTACTATGCTACTACCGAACTACTCGGATGTTCCCGACGAACCATACTGCATGTTAACCTATGCTCTCTCATTTTGACATTTTCCTTTCAGCTTCATTGAAATTTTTTTGTTACACAACAGACCACTCGCTTCCTTCCACTTCATCTATCCAATCTTAATTCGATCGCGTGCATTTATTTCTCCAGATTACCCTGTAATACCAAATCTAGGTATTCAAAACTATTACTTTTCACAATCATTTCACCATATAAAGATATCAATCTCTTTGTACTAACTTCATTTTTAAATGAACATTCCAAATACTCAATTTTTGTCTTCCTAAGTTTTAAATCTTTTTCCTCAAGAGTTTGTCTCCGCTGTTCCAGTTTTTTTCCAAGTCACTTTCACTATTTCGTGCTGACACTACATCATCAGCATATATTAAGCACCGCGGAATGTTTCCCTATAGTTTCACTGTAATTTGTTCTAGAACTAATGAGAATAAATAAGGAGTATGCACAAAAGATAGTTTATTAAAACAAACAATAATACTTAAACAAATATCCAGATTGATTAGCTATATTTCCCTTTTTCTCACTCAAAAAAGAAAGGAATAACACCAGCTTTTAGGTAAATCTATTAAGAACAACAAGAGTTAAAAGAAAAAGCAATTACACAGCGGTGTATACAAACTTAACTGTGGCGACTGCCAAAAACTTACATTGGTCAAACTGGTAGAACTTTTATCAAACGTATAGAAAACATAAAAGGGCTTTCAGTAATCTAAAAAAAAGTCTCTACGTACGCACTTTCCCTTCTAGACGATCATGATTTTTTTAATGACGAATTTCAAATTCTTCGCATTCAAAATAAAGACCTTAAGCTATCTTTATTAGAATATATGGAAATCAACTAATTAAAAAATACAGACATAATTCTGAATGACTAACTTGAAACCATCAGTTCTCCCCTCCTCAACTTATTCAGTTATTCAGACTTATTCAATAGATCCTATTGAATATTTTCAATAGGATCAATTCAACTCATCAAATGACGTGTTCATCGAATATAATGTTTCAAATTTATTTTGTCTCGCATGAAGAATACAATTATGTTACAATTGTCTCTTATTAGCTGCTTCGGTATTTTTGAATATGTTTGGCATACGTAAGCGGCATCGATATCTTTATGTCGGCACATGGAATAATACTCGCGAATCTTCTGTTGGCTATCACATGCAACATCATCAAATAAGAAAATAGAGTTTGAAAATATTCACTGATAGCGTCGATGAAATAGATTGCAAAATGAAATATTTAATAAAAATAAACCCCTACACATTTACCTGAGAAAAAATATCTAGGTAAATATAAAACTGAACGCAGATAAACCTAGCCGGCAGGTAGTTTCAATGTCGTTCGTTGAACTTGACCCAAACCGATCGATATTTATGCACCGAAATTCTGTTTTAGGTAAAAATATTTACATCGGCAACATCTATTGATACTAAAATGATGCAAAATACAATAATTTTATCTCCTGAGGTCAAAATGTATGTTTGATGTAAATTTAATATAATTAAAATATTGAAAACCGACAACGGTGCCAAGTCTAAATAGATACACTTAACACACGACTTGGACAGAGAAAATGATAGCATTTCTTGGTGATGCTAAATTACTGCAAGTGAAAAGAGTTCAAAATGATAGCAGGATGTATACATATATATATATATATATATATATATATATATATATATATATATATATATATATGTATATATATATATATATATATATATATGTATATATATATATATATATATATATATATATATATATATATATATATATATATGTATTGTTATGATATGTAAAATCGAGAAAAATATTGGTTTGCTTAAAATATTTCAAAGTTCCAAAAAAATTAAAATAATTCAGATAAGTAGGATAATAACCAACAAACATTTCGAAGAAGGAAAGTCTTTAAATTTTTGGATTACCTGTATTGAACAAAACGTAAGATATGCATAAATTATTTTCTTTGTTAAAATATATTTGAGTGACCCGTATAAGCTTAAGTGAATTCCTAGACAATTGAAGCGGTTTTTCCAAATAAATGTTGTGCAGTAATTAGGACAATAGAATATACTTTAGAAAGATATGTTTTTGTTAGTTTTTAAGAATTGGTAGAAAAAGATTAGTTTTTAAATAATGTTCGGAAATATTATAATTGTAGGTAAAAATTTGTTTGTGATCGAAATGAAGAAATGGGAAATGTATATCGCGTTTTGATTGGATGAGATTGAAAAAGGTGGGAGGTTTGGTTTGAGAATGAGACGTTAGTTAGTTTTGGAAGAAAGAAAAGATAGTCAGTTGGTTTCCAAGGGTGCAAGGCGAACGGCCGTTGTTCTCGGGTAGTTTTCCAGAGGTAGGAAGCAGTAGCAGTGAAAGTTTGTGAGTTTTCGTGTAGTGTATCTGACAGAAGCTGATCCAGTAAAAGATTGTAAGTTATATTTTCTACTTATATTCCAAGAGTCACTGTTCAGGCCACCGAGAGATTCAGTTTATCGTAAAGAAAAGATATTCCAAGAGTCATTTTTCACTCATGCCAACGAGAGATTCAGTTTATTGAGAGAAGAAGAAGCTAGCATAATTTGAACGATTCGTGCATTTGAAGGAGATCATTAAGGACGATAAACTTGCAATAATTTGTTGTAAGATTGCTGATTACCTAGGGAGCGGCTGAGAGTAGATAGTATAGTCTACAAGAAACAAGGATTTGGACCACTCATCATCAGAGAGAGATCGTTTTGTTTTTCTGCAGTTTTTTTTTCTTTTATTGATAACACAATTTTTACGATTACTTTAGAAAATATATAAATATTTTGATTAGGAGGTTTAGAATAATAATTGGGATTTTGTGATTTT